ACTAGCCAGGAATAGAGACGGTGAAGCAGCGGCAGCCTATTTCTGGTAGATTGTAGTAAATGTCCATTTGATGCATTTTTTAAGATTTTTATTGAGCATCATACTTTCTCTGACAGATTCTGGAAAACGACGTTCACACGGAGCTTATACCGCTCAGATTACTAATAGATTTTTTCAACACTGCATACAAGTGCCAATTGAAACTGGCCCTGCAAGCAACACTGTTTGCAAGAATTCTGGAACGCAATTACAACGAAATGAGTTATACATGTGTGCGTCGTCTGAAATCACTGTGCTTGCGGATCTTCTTGTGGTTTGTTTTCTTTGCATTGCTGAGTAAGACAGTAACAATCCTTATGAATTTTATTATTTTTGCGCCTTTATGCTCATCCTCGTATGCTGTTTATAGGTTTCAAGAAGCACGCACTCACAATGCAGTGCTTCTGCCCTTATTGTGCCAACTGCAACAGCACTAAAATTTGGTTGTGATCTTTTTGCATTTGTGCTTCAGTAATTGAGGTCACTGTAAAATTCTAATTTTCATTCGATTTACCGCAATCGAAACTAAATTTCGAAATAATTTCTGTTGATCAGTCTGCTGGCATTTGCTCCGCTTATTAGCAGATCAATACCAATCGTGGCATGCAAGTGGTTACGTAGTTAATTGAAAGGTACTTGATGTAACGACTAGCGAGGCAAAAAAAGGAATTCTGAATCCATAATTCTGAAGGATTTGATCCTCTATTATCCTGGGCGCTGCCGCTGAATTTTCTTTATGGCAATATGCTTGCCAAAGTCGTCTTTTTTCTAAAATATTTTCGTACGTGGACGAGAGACTGAAACTTTTGGTGTGACTGCGACTTATTGCATCGTTCCAACACACTGTTTTTCAGGAACTACGTAACAACAAATCGCTACTTCGAGAGAGTGAGAAGAGAACGGAAGCAAAACTGCTTCATACCGAAAAAGGAAAGTTGGACAGTACCGAACAGAAACGACCTACAACAGGAAAAGTTAATCAGATTGTGTACTTATGATGCATTACGATTATCACATCTCACCACTACTGTATCGACCGAAATACTCCGGATTTCTTGCAGTCAATGTAAGAAGGAACGTTCACGTATAACTCGGGCAGGAAGCTTTCTGTCCAAGCCAGTGCCGAAAAAACTCTTCCTTTGTCAACAGTGCGGCTCAGAATTATGTGCAGATTGCGAAGCAAAGTTTTGTTCTGCGATGCTCATGGATCTTCTGAAAAATGTCAGAAAGGCCGAGGAGGAGCCAGACATGGAGAAGAAGCTTCGCGAAATTGTTCACGCAAATTCATCACCCTACGATTGTACATGGAGACTGCTTAATGCTTGATAACAGCACCCAGCAAAAAAAAAAAAAATTGCAACATTTGGTTTATACATTTACAATTCAAATCTTCAATTTCTTACTGACAGGCGAGCAGGTATTCCGGAAGCTTTGAGCATGAAGGCAAACTGAAATCAGACAGTGGCTATTCGGTCAAAACAAACAGAATTCTTCTTTTATCCAGGACTGGTGTTGTCTCGCTTGATAATTTTGGACAACCCTTTCGCGAAGTTGTACGCATCTGTGGGTGCGTGACAATGCCAGCTTTTTACCTGTTTCTGCTTTCTGCAGTGAATTTCCCTACTGTCGTTTTTTGCTTCTTGTTGCTTGTCTTTAAATTTTTGTGGCCAGTTTGTGCTATTCAGTAAAATTCCGATATTGTTTTAAAAATAAGTTCGCTATTTGCTCTGTTTGGAAAAAAATGACGTTGGAATATTACGTATCAAAAATTTTTCAAGGGTTTGTTACTGGTTTAACGTTGATTTGTATTTGCGCCCTTAGAGAAACATCTGAAATTTGTACTAGCTCGAAGAATGTATTTGAATGTCGCTTTTGCAAGAATTAACTCATAGACTTCGAGCATACGCTGTTAAAGGATTTCATTAGCTGATTACTTCCGAACACAGTCTATATTTTGAGTAAAATGTTCTGTAATAAATAGTACGCCACGTTACCAACCGGAAATTTCAGAAGGCTTACTGTTTTTTAAAAGAAGTGGTCCAGCCACATTTTGGGGGAGAAGCAGTGTTCCTATCAGTGAAGTGTGTCCATGAGTTGACAGCGATAAAAATTGCGCAGGAAAAAGCGATGAAAATTCAAGTTAGAGGACATACAGCTGAGCAGCGGAATCTAGTTGAGACGACAAAAATCAGGTGGGACGACATGCAGAAACGGTTATTTTTTGGTTAGAAGGCTTTGGTAACAATTACTAAGCAAGTAACAAAATCAAAAGTTAAAACTCCTTCGGATTTATTCTCAGTGAAAGGCAGAGGCTCTCGAAAGTAACTCGAGCGGCAGTGCAATCACGAACATGCATACATTGAACAGACTGTCGACCTCTTGTTCAACAGTCATTAAAAGCAACTTGATGTCAGTTCTGACCATCTAGCACGTGCTAATATCAATTTACCATCGAAATTAATGATAAGTTGTAAAGCGAGCGGTTATCCCACTTGAGCGCTGGCATAAGAGCTGCACTACTTGCCAAGTGCCGTATTCTCCAGCAGCGAACATATATGGTGGGAAGAAACGAAATTCAATGCAGGATCATCCAGAATAAAAATTATAACTGTCAAAATTTGGTGCTTGCACCACTGA